CCTTGCTGTGCTCATCGTTGTCTTCTCCCTCTTCATGTTGACTTTCTCTACCAGCCCAGGCCAGGAGAGTCCAGTGGAGTCCTTCATAGCCTTTCTACTCATTGAGTTGGCCTGTGGACTATACTTTCCCAGCATGAGCTTCCTACGGAGAAAGGTGATCCCTGAGACAGAGCAGGCCGGTGTACTCAACTGGTTCCGGGTACCTCTGCACTTACTGGCTTGCCTAGGGCTCCTTGTCCTCCATGACAGTGATAGAAAAACAGGCACTCGGAACATGTTCAGCATTTGCTCTGCCATCATGGTGATGGCTCTGCTGGCAGTGGTGGGACTCTTCACTGTGGTAAGGCATGATGCTGAGCTTCGGGCACCCTCACCTGCTGAGGAGCCCTATGCCCCTGAGTTGTAACCCCACTCCAAGACAAGATAGCTAGGACAGACTCTTGAATCCCAACTATCCAGGATTGTACAGATCTCTCTGTGACTGACTTCGTGACTGTCCTGTGGCTTCTCCTGCCACTGCTTTGTGTTTGGGAGGACATGATGGGGGTGATGGACTGGAAAGAAGGTGCCAAAAGTTGCCTCTGTGCTACTCCCATTTAGAAAATAAATACTTTTCAATGATCTTTGATTTGATTTACTCATCCTTACCTGTAGCCTTCTCAGTAGTTTCTGGTGAGTGGGCAGCTAGAGGTTTTGTTTTGTTTTTTGTTTTTTGAGATGGAGTCTCACTCTGTCACCCAGGCTGGAGTGCAATGGTGTGATCTTGGCTCACTGCAACCTCTGTCTCCTGGGTTCAGGTGATTCTCCTGCATCAGCCTCCTGACTAGCTGGGATTACAGGTGCCTGCTACCACACCCAGGTACTTTTTGTTTTTTGTTTTGTTTTTTGAGATGGAGTTGCACTCTTGTTGCTGCCCAGACTGGAGTGCAATGGTGCAAGCTCAGGTCACCACAACCTCCACCTCCCAGGTTCAAGTGATTCTCCTGTCTCAGCCCCCTGAGTAGGTGGGATTACAGGCATGCACCACCACACCTGGCTGATTTTTGTATTTTTAGTAGGGATGGAGTTTCACCATGTTGATCAGTCTGGTCTCAAACTCCTGACTTCAGGTGATCCACTTGCCTCAGCCTCCCAAAGTGTTGGGATTACAGGCATGGGCCACCATACCTGGGCCAGCTAAAGGTTTTGAGGTGGGATTATCAGCAAAAGGTTTCTATTTCTAACTTCTCCAAGATTGTCTCTAGCTCAAACTGAGAACTATGGAATTGCTGTCAGCAGAACTGTTTGGGAAGGGCCTGAGGCTCCTAGGTCCTTCACATTCCTCTGCTGGGGGACAGGCACTCTCCCCAGTTGTCAAGCAAAACCCTTGCTCCACATCCAGGGTAAGATGATCTCAGGAGCACATGGAGTAGATGCCCAATATGCCAGGCCACTGAGGAAAGATTCCAGGGGCTTGTGGGCTGCTGCTGTGATCACCCCTTGGGCAAAGCCAGGCTTTTCCTACCAAAGTAAGCTTGCAGCTCAGCATAGGCCTGCAGCCTGCCCTTTGCTTCTATGGCTACAAATGCACCATTTGTCCAGCATCATCTGGGTCTACCAGATCCTGTATCCCTGTGTGGAACCGAAGTGAAAGGCTGCTGGGGGGAGTGGTGCAAGGCTGAGGGACTAGGACATCTTGTCTGTACCTGACTCTTCCCCCACCCAGCCTGAATGAGGGTGAGGGAGCCATCAGGGCAGGAAACAGTACTAGTAAGCCAGTTCTGTGGGTCCCTCCCTGCCTCGCCCCTGATTGTATCTGCCTTTCCTCCTCCCACCAAAACCTGGGCTTCTCAGGGGAAGCACAGCCAGCTTTAAGTAGGGTGGGGAGAGAAGGAAGGTAGTCTCAAGGGTGTATCCTGGAATTCGCTTGAGATGGGCATAGGGGACACCTACCCCTTCTGGAAAGGGGTTGAAGACCTTTCCTTGGGTCTCAGACTATTTCTCAGACAGGAAGATGCAGGATGTTTTAAGACCTGCAGGTCCCAACCTGTGTGGAAAGATAGCATCAGCAGGTGCTGGTGGAACGCAGGGTGGACGGGCTTCTGCAGGGTGAGGCCAAGGGGAGGAAATAGGTGGTGGTCTCAGATCCCTACTAAGACCAGAAAAAACATGTTCCCCCACCCAGGCTCAGGGAATAGAGGTTAAGTAAGAAAAACAGGTATCAGCTGGATGTGGTGGCTTACACCTGTAATCCCAGCACTTTGAGAAGGAAAGGCAGGCAGATCTCTTGAGCCCAGGAGTTTGAGACCAGCCTGGGCAACATGGCAAAACCCCATCTCTAAAAAAAAAATACATGCTGGGCGCGGTGGCTCACGCCTATAATCCCAGCACTTTGGGAGGCCCAGGTGGGTGGATCACAAGGTCAAGAGATCGAGACCATTCTGGTCAACAAGGTGAAACCCCATCTCTACTAAAAATACAAAAATTAGCTGGGCATGGTGGTGCATGCCTGTAGTCCCAGCTACTCGGGAGGCTGAGGCAGGAGAATTGCTTGAACCCAGGAGGCGGAGGTTGCGGTGAGCCGAGATCGTACCAGTGCACTCCAGTCTGGGTAACAACAGTGAAACTCTGTCTCAAAAAAAAAAAAATACAAAAATTAGCTGTGTGTAGTGGTGTGTACCCGTAGTCCAAGCCACTTTGGGAGGCTGAGGCGGGGAGTATCAGTTGAGCCTGGGAGATTGAGGCTGCAGGGAGTAATGATTGAGCCATGCCACTGCACTCCAGCCAGGGCAACAGAGTGAGACCCAGTTTCAAAAACAAAAAAAAAAGAAAAGGTATCTTTTTGATATTTTATTTCTTTTTATACTCAGCCCAACAGAGTGGGTCTCTCTAGGGACCAACACCTGTGAGTCTGCGGGGCTTGCAGCTCTCCAGGACTGAAGGCCAAAAAGCTATCTTTTACTTCCCTACCCCGCCACCTGTCATCCCAAGACTAAAGATAAAGTCTTGCATTAACTCCACTTCCTCTTTCTGCCCTGTTGGGCTAGACCTAGATATACTTTATAGTCATCTAGGCCAGAGTGTAGTGGCATGATCACAGCTCACTGCAGCCTTGACCTCCTGGGCTCAAGCGATCCTCCCACCTTTGCCTCCCGAATAGCAGGGACTACAGGCAGCACCACCATACCCAGCTAATTTTTTTTTTGTAGAGATAAGGGTCTCACTATGTTACCCAAGCTGGTCTGAAACTCCTGGGTTCAAGCAATCCTCCCTTCTTGGCCTCCCAAAGTGCTGGGATTACAGGTGTGAGCCACCACACTTGGCCTGACAGTAATTATTTAGGGGCCCTCACATTCCTAAGTGATATGGAAATAGAGGGGTAGGGGAGACAAACTGAGATTCCTTTAGCTTTGTCCCTGGTGAGCTTGTTTCAAAGGGGCTAGTAGCTAATAGAGTGGAGAGAGTTCTTTCCTGTCAGACTCACACGTGTTAAGAGCTGGAAGGCATCTTCGAGATCGTCCATTTGGCCTTAAACTTTTTTGTTTTTTTGAGATGGAGTCTCTCTCTGTCGCCCAGGCTGGAGTGCAGTGGTGAAATGTCTGCTCACTGCAACCACTGCCTCCAGGTTTCAAGCAGTTGTTTGCCTCAGCCTCCTGAGTAGCTGGGATTACAAGCGCCTACCACCACGCCTAATTTTTGTGTTTTTAGTAGAGACGGGGTTTCACCACCTTGACCAGGTTGGTCTTGAACTCTTGACCTTGTGATCTGCCCGCCTTGGCCTCCCAAAGAGCTTGGATTACAGGCATGAGCCACCGTGCCTGGACAGACCTTAAACATTTTTTATTGAGCACCTGCTATATACCATGTGTTTTATTTCTAGGTACTGGTGAATTTTATTTTATTTTTTTACCCAAGAGGAAAATCCACTTAAAGGAAGCAATTAACTTGCCTAAGGGCGTGTAGCAAGTGAGTAGTGATAAAACGAAGTCTTGTTTCTTATTGCCAACCCAGTGCCCCCTCTATGAACACATGCTGCCTCTGTCCCATGGGCCTTCACTTACCTGTTTTTTAGCCTCCAACCCTGCTTCCCCATCCCAAGCTCTGTCCCTGGAGAACAGCAAGAGAGTGGGAGCATTTGGCTGTCTGATCTACTTAGGGGTAGCTATCCATAGGATTCAAATGAGGGATTGGTTCAGCAGGTGCACACTCCCTGCATAATGCTGTCCCTGATGCTCCACTGAGAAGCCCCATAGGGAAGTGATTAAGAATGTGGATCCGGCCGGGCGTGGCGGCTCACGCCTGTAATCCCAGCACTCTGGGAGGCTGAGGCGGGTGGATCATGAGGTCAAGAGATCCAGACCATCCTGGTCAACATGGTGAAACCCCGTCTCTACTAAAAATACAAAAACTTAGCTGGGCGTGGTGGTGCGTGCCTGTAATCCCAGCTACTCAGGAGGCTGAGGCAGGAGAATTGGCTGAACCCAGGAGGCAGAGGTTGCGGTGAGCCGAGATTGCGCCATTGCACTCCAGCCTGGGTAACAAGAGCGAAACTCCGTCTCAAAAAAAAAAAAGAATGTGGATCCAAGGCCAGGCGCGGTGGCTCACGCCTGTAATCCCAGCACTTTGGGAGGCCACGGTGGGTGGATCACCTGAAGTCAGGAATTCAAGACCAGCCTGGCCAACATGGTGAAACCCTGTCTCTACTAATAATACAAAAATTAGCTGGATTTGGTGGCACATTCCTATAATCCCAGCTACTTGGGAGGCTGAGGCAGGAAAATTGCTTGAACCCAGGAGTCCCAGGTTACAGTGAGCCAACATGGTACCATTGCACTCCAGCCTGGGCGACAAGAGTGAAACTCCATCTCAAAAAAAAAAAAAAAAAAAAAGAAAGAAAAGAATGTAGATCCAGAGCCCAACTCCCTGGTTCAAATCTGGCTCCACAACTCTGTGCCTCAGTTTCCTCGTCTGTGAAATGGGGAGGATAGTATAGTTTCAACCCCTAAGGTTTCTGGTGAGGATGAAATGCATCATTATACTTAAGTGCTTAGAACAGTATTTGGCCCACAGCATAAGCACTACATAAGTGTTTGCTTTTATATTTTATTTTTTAACTTCTCCAATCCAGCTGAGCCTATCTGGATTTGAGTGTGGGAATGAGTGGAGAGGGCTGTAATGGGGTATAGAACTTTCCAATGCATCCCAGTGACTGGGGGATTCCCAGCAGTGTTCATCCTCGGTGCTGGCCCAGATGGACATATCGAGCTATTTGAGAAGGCTTCTACTCTGGGGTATGTGAGCATCTGAGCTGGGTGTCAGCGTGTTCCACTTGAACTCATTTCCTCTTCCTCTAGTGGGAAGGTCATCTTGGGGTTAGACTGGATACACGCCACCATCTTTCACTAAGAGGCTCCTGATTTTCTGAATTTCCATCCAGCTGGAAACATGATTATTTGATCTGGAGCTTTTAAGTGATCCTGAGGAGAGAAGAGAAACATCCCAAGGACCCAGAAGCCAATGGACGAGGAAGCAGGAGGCCTGGGGCAGGAAGATAGTACAGGGTTCTGAGGCCTGGAGGATGACCTCTTCCTGGAAATTCAGTCCCTGCCGTGGGAGGGGAGTGGGCTGTTCCCAGCTAATGGTCAGCTGAGTCTAAGTCCACTCCTCATTGCTCTTCCCCTAACCCCAATCCTGAGGTTTTCCCTGTCCTTTTTATTATTTTCTGCCATCACCTCCCCATAGAACCACAGAATAGAAATGTAGCACAAACAAATATGTCATGCTTGGGATCAGATCTGATATAAAAATACCTCACATTAACTTTTTTTTCATAAAGTTGTATGACCTCATTGTAAAATGGTCAAATGTAAATACAGAAATGCACATTTAATATATGTATGTGAAAATCAGTATGTGCTAATTATGTTATAGTAGCATATTAAAATACATATATTTATATTGCTATATAAATATACAGTTGACCCTTGAACAACAGCAAGCCACTGACCCCTGGTGCAGTTCAAAATCTGTGCATGACGTTTTTGTTTTTTTTTTTTTTTGAGACAGGGCCTCCCTCTGTCTCCCAGGCTGGAGTGCAGTGGCACAATTTTGGCTCACTGCAGCCTCAACATCTCAGATTCAAGCAATTCTCCTGCCTCTGCCTCCCCTGTAGCTGGGACTACAGGCACGTGCCACCATGCCCAGCTAAGTTTTATATCTTTAGTAGACACGGGATTTCACCATGTTGACCAGGCTGGTCTCGAACGCCTGATCTCAAGTGATCCACCCACGTTGGCCTCCCAAAGTTCTGAGATTACAGGAGTTAGCCACCACCATGTCCAGCTTTTTCTTGAGACTGAATCTTGCTTTAATAGTAATCACCTGTTAAAAAGAAAAAAAAAGAGACTGAATCTTGCTATGTTACCCAGTCTGGTCTCCAACTCCTGAGCTCAAACAATCCTCCCACCTCCACCTCAGCCTCAAGAGTACCTAGGACTATTTGAACACCACCATACCTGGCTTTTTTTTTTTTTTAACCTCTGTTGCTGCCTCCAAAAAACATTCCTTTTTTTGATACAGAGTCTCTCTGTCACCCAGGCTGGAGTGCAGTGGTGCAATCTCAACTCACTGCCACCTCTGCCTCCCAGGTTAAGCAATTCTCCTGCCTCAGCCTCCTGAGTAGCTGGGATTACAGGCACCCACCACCATGCTTGGCTAATTTTTGTAATTTTTTTAGTAGAGACAGGGTTTCACCATCTTGGTCAGGCTGGTCTCGAACTCCTAACCTCAGGTGATCTGCCTGCCTCGGCCTCCCAAAGTGCTAAGATTACAGGCATGAGCCACCCAGCCTGGCCTCTTTTCTTTTCTTTTAAGACAAGGTCTTACTAGGTTGCCCAGGCTAGAGTGCAGTGGCACAATCACAGTTCACTGCAACCTTGACATTCTGGGCTCAAGTGGTCCTCCCACTTCTGAGTGGTTGTGACTACAGGTGCACATCACCACACCTACCTAATTTTCTTTATTGGTTTATAGGGAAGACTGTCTTATTACGTGGCCCAGGCTAGTCTCGAACCCCTGAGCTCAAGCAGTCCTCTCACCTTAGACTCCCAAAGTGTTGGGATTACAGGTGTGAGCCACTGTCCTGGCCTGAAGATAATTCTTTAAACTTACTTTAATTTTTAAATTTTTATTTATTTTTTAAGACAGAGTCACGGCCGGGCGCGGTGGCTCATGCCTGTAATCCCAGCACTTTGGGAGGCCGAGGCGGGTGGATCACGAGGTCAAGAGATCGAGACCATTCTGGTCAACATGGTGAAACCCCGTCTCTACTAAAAATACAAAAATTAGCTGGGCATGGTGACGCGCACCTGTAGTCCCAGCTACTCGGGAGGCTGAGGCAGGAGAATTGCTTGAACCCAGGAGGTGGAGGTTGCGGTGAGCCAACATCACGCCATTGCACTCCAGCCTGGGTAACAAGAGTGAAACTCCGTCTCAAAAAAAAGACAGAGTCTCACTCTGTCACTAAGGCTGGAGTGCAATGGTGTGATCTCAGCTCACTACAACCTCCACCCCCTGGGTTCAGGCAATTCTTCTGCTTCATCTTCCTGAGTAACTGGAACTACAGATGCACGCCACCACACCCAGCAAAATTATTATATTTTTAGAAGAGATGGGGTTTCACCATATTGGTTAGGCTCCTGGCCTCAGGTGATCTACCTGCCTCGGCCTCCTAAAGTGCTGGGATTACAGGTGGGAGCCACCTCATCCAGCCACTTTAATTTTTTTTTATCGATGAGTCTCATTCTGTTGCTCAAACTGAAGCCCAATGGCAAGATCATAGGTCATGGCAGTCTTAAACTCCTGGGCTCAAGCAGTTCTCCCACTTCAGCCTCCTGAGTATAGCTGTGACGACAGGCATTGGAGCAAACATACCTAGCTAATTCTTAAACATTTTATAAAGATGGATTCTTGCTATATTGCCTAGGTTGGTCTCAAACTCCTGGCCTCAAGTGATCCTCCTGCCTCTGCTTTCCAAGTAGTTGGGATTATAGATGCAAGCCACCATGCCCAGTGATTGCGTATAACTTTTTTTTTTCTAAGACAGAGTCTCTCTCTGTCACCCAGGCTGGAGTGCAATAGTGTGATCCTGGCTCACTGCAACCTCCGCTTCCCAGGTTCAAGTGATTCTCCTGCCTCAGCGTCCTGAGTAGCTGGGATTACAGGCATGAGCCGTCACGCCCAGCTAATTTTTGTATTTTTAGTAATATTTTTAGTATTTTTGTATTTTTGCCAATTTGCCAGGCTGGTCTCAAACTCCTGACCTGAAGTGACTGTGCCCGACTTTAGGCCTTGTTTTTTTCTTTTTTTTTTTTTTTTTGAGACGGAGTTCACTCTGTCACCCCAGCTGGAGTGCAATGGCATGATCTTGGCTCACTGCAACCTCTGCCTCCGAGTTCAAGCAATTCTCCTGCCTCAGCCTCCCAAGTAGTTGGAATTACAGGCATGCACCACCACACCTGGCTATTTTGTATTCTTATTTTATTTTATTTATTTATTTTTGAGATGGAGTCTCGCTCTGTCACCCAGGCTGGAATACAGTGGCTCAATCTCAGCTCACTACAACCTCTGCCTCCTGGTTTCAAGCAATTCTCTGCTTCAGCCTCCTTAGTAGCTGGAATTACAGGCACCCACCACCACACCCAGCTAATTTTTGTATTTTTAGTAGAGATGGGGTTTCACCATCATGACCAGGCTGGTCTTGAACTCCTGACCTCAAGATCCACCTGCCTCGGCCTCCCAAAGTTCTGGGATTATAGGCGTGAGCCACCATGTACCCAGCTGCATATAACTTTTGACTCCCCAACAACCTAGCTACTAATAACCTACTGTTGACCTAAAGCCTTACCAATAAATAATATAAACAGCTGATTAACACATATTCTGTAATATATATTATATTCTACATCCTTACAATAAAGTAAGCTAGAGAAAACAACATTATTTTTAAAATCATATGCCAGGCAAGGTAGCTCACACCTGTAATCCCAGCACTTTGGGAGGCCAAGGTGAGCGGTTCACTCAAGGTCAGGAGTTTGAGACCAGCCTGGCCAACATGGCAAAACTCCATCTCTACAAAAAATATTAAAAAATTAGCTGGGCATGGTGGCTGATGCCTGTAATCCCAGCTATTTGGGAGACTGAGAAAGCCAAATTGCTTGAGCCCAGGAGGTGGAGGTTGTAGCGTGCTGAGATCATGTGTGCCACTGCACTGCAGCCTGGAAAAAAGAGTAAGCTCTGTCTTAAAAAAAAAAAAAAAACCCAGAGAAAAGAAAATCAGGAGGACTCCTATCATAAGGAAAATATATTTACTACTCATTAAATGGAAGTGGATCATTATCCTCATTGTCTTCACGTTGAGTAGAATGAGGAGGAGGAAGAGGAAGGGTTGGTCTTGTTATCTCGGCAGTGGCAGAGGTGGAAGAAAATCCTCATATAAGTTCACCTCTGCAGTTAAAGCCCGTATTGTTCAAGAGTGAACTGTACTATAAATATACATATATGAATGAAGAAATATAAAATGTAAAAAAAGACAGACTTCCTTAATCTTGCCCATCAGAGATTACTACTGTTAAACATTTGGGGTATAGACTAGCAGTAGATTTAATATCAGTCATTTTGTTTTGTTTTGTTTTTTAAGATGGAGTTTCGCTCTTGTTGCCCAGGCTGGAATGCAATGGCTTGATCTGGGCTCATTGCAACCTCCACCTCCCAGGTTCAAGTGATTCTCCTGCCTCAGTTTCCCCAGTAACTGGGATTATAGGCATACGCCACCACACCCAGTCTAATTTTGTATTTTTAGTAGAGATGGGGTTTCTCCATGTTGATCAGGCTGGTCTCGAACTCCTGACCTCAGGTGATCCGCCTGCGTTGTCCTCCCAAAGTGCTAGGATTACAGGTGTAAGCCACCACGCCCAGCCACCTAGTCTTTTTTTCTTAAGACAGAGTCTCATTCTGCTCACTCTGTCACTCAGGCTGGAGTGCAGTGGTGTGTTCTTGGCTCACAGCAACTTTCACCTCCCAGGCTGAATTAATTCTCATGTCTTTTTCTTTTTTTTTTGACACGCAGTCTTGATTTGTCGCCAGGTGCCAGGCTGGAGTGCAGTGGCATGATCTCGGCTCACTGCAACCTCAGCCTCCCAGGTTCAGGCGATTCTCCTGCCTCAGCCTCCCAAGTAGCTAGGACTACAGGCGTGTGCCCCTACACTCAGCTAATTTTTGTATTTAATAGACACAGGGTTTCACTATGTTGGCCAAGATGGTCTTGATCTCTTGACCTCATGATCCATCCACCTCAGCCTCCCAAAGTGCTGGGATTACAGACGTGAGCCACCAGGCCTGGCCCCCCAGTCTTTTTTTTAAGACAGAGTCTCATTCTGCTCACTCTGTCACTTAGGCTGGAGTACAGTCATGTGGTCCCAGCTCACTGCAACTTTCATCTCTCAGGTTGAATTAATTCTCGTGCCTCAGCCTCCCAAGTATGCTGGGATTGCAGGCATAAGCCACCACACCTGGTTAATTTTTATATATTTTTTAATTTATAAAAAATTAAAAATATTTTAACTTTCAAAGACAGGGTTTCACCATGTTGCTCAGGCTGGTCTTGAACTCCCGACCTCAGGAGATCCGCCCGCCTTGGGCTCCAAAGTGCTTGGATTACAGGCCTGAGCCACTACGCCCAGCCAATTTTTATATTTTTAGTAGAGACAGGGTTTTGCACAATGGCCAGGCTGGTCTTGAACTCCTGTCCTGAGGTGATCTGCCTGCCTTAGCCTCCCAAAGTCCTCAGATTACAGGCACGAGCCACTATGCCTGGCTAGTCTTTTTTAAAGAAAATTTTAATAAAAATTGGATCATACTTTTCTGCAAGTTGTTTTTTATATAGTTTTTTCTTTCCTTAAAACAATTAAAATCCACAGGAAGACTCTAAGAGTCATGCATGCATCTCTGATATCTTTATATGATGATGTGCTTGACATAGGACATGCTTCTTATTTTATTTTTTAAATTTTTTTAATTTTTATTTATTTTTTCGAGACGGAGTTTCACTATGTCACCCAGGCTGGAGTGCAGTGGCTCAATCTTGGCTCACTACAACCTCCACCTCCCAGGTTAAAGCGATTCTCCTGCCTCAGCCTCCTGAGTAGCTGGGATTATAGGCTTGCGCCACCATAACTGGCTAATTTTGTATTTTTCCTAGATATGGGGTTTCTCCATGTGGGTCAGGTTGATCTGGTATTCCCAACCTCATGATCCACTGGCCTCAGCCTCCCAAAGTGCTGGGATTACAGGTGTGATCCACTGTACCTAGCCTTTATTTATTATTATTATTATTATTATTATTTTGAGAAGGAGTTTCGCTCTTGTTACCCAGGCTGGAGTACAATGGCGCAATCTCAGCTCACCACGACCTCTGCCTCCTGGGTTCAGGCAATTCTCCTGCCTCAGGCTCCTGAGTAGCTGGAATTACAGGCACACGCCACCATGCCCAGCTAATTTTTTTTTTTTTTTTTGTATTTTTAGTAGAGACGGGGTTTCACCATGTTGACCAGGATGGTCTGGATCTCGTGACCTTGTGATACACCCGCCTCGGCCTCCCAAAGTGCTGGGATTACAGGCATGAACCGCCATGCCAGGCCTATCATTATTATTATTTTAGACGGAGTCTCTCTCTTGTCACCCAGGCTGGAGTGCAATGGTGTGATCTCAGCTCACTACAACCTCCACCTCCTGGGTTTGTTTTGTTTTGTTTTGTTTTCTGAGATGGAGTTTCGCTCTTGTTACCTAGGCTGGAGTGCAATGGCACAATGTCGGCTCACCGAAACCTCCACCTCCTGGGTTCAAGCAATTCTCCTGCCTCAGCCTCCCGAGTAGCTGGGACTACAGGCGCACGCCACCATGCCCAGCTAATTTTTGTATTTTTAGTAGAGACGGGGTTTCACCATGTTGACCAGGATGGTCTCGATCTCTTGACCTCGTGATCCACCTGCCTCAGCCTCCCAAAGTGCTGGGATTATAGGCATGAGCCACCGCACCCAGCTGCCTCCTGGGTTTAAGCGATTCTCCTGCCTCAGCCTTCCAAGGAGCTGGGATTACAGACACCCACTACCACGCCTCGCTAATTTTTGTATTTTTAGTACAGACAGGGTTTCACTATGTTGGCCAGGCTTGTCTCAAACTCCTGACCTCAGGTGATCTGCCCGCCTCAAACCTCCCAAAGTGCTGGGATTACAGGTGTGAGCCAGCACACCTGGCCTTCATTTCTATATTTTTTAAAAAGTAGGTATAATAAAATACATTGAGTAAAAGTCCTAGGATGCTTGCTAAACAACATGTAAATTAACACTGATAGCTAAGGTATAAACAAGAGGAATTGAGTACTGTGATGAATAATGTTTTTTGGTTTTTTTTTTTGAGACAGAGTTTCGCACTTGTTACCCAGGCTGGAGTGCAATGGTGCGATCTCGGATCACCGCAACCTCCGCCTCCTGGGTTCAAGCAATTCTCCCGCCTCAGCCTCCCGAGTAGCTGGGATTACAGGCGTGAGCCACCATGCCCAGCTAATTTTCGTATTCTTAGTAGAGACAGGATTTCACCATGTTGATCAGGATGGTCTCGATCTCTTGACCTCGTGATCCACCCGCCTCGGCCTCCCAAAGTGCTGGGATTACAGGCGTGAACCACCTCGCCCCGCCTGAATAATTTTTTTTTTTTTTTTTTTTTTGAGACTGAGTCTTGCTCTGTAGTACAGTGGCGGGATCTCAGCTTGCTGCAACCTCAGCTTCCCAAGTTCAAGCAATCCTCCCAAGTAGCTGGGACTACAGGTCCCCCGACACCACGCCCCACTAATTTTTGTGCTTTTAGTAGATACGGTGTTTCACCATATTGGCCAGGCTGGTCTTGAACTCCTGGCCTCAAGTGATCCACCTGCCTCAGCCTCCCAAAGTGCTGGGATTACAGGCATGAGCCACCGTACCCAGCCTTCTTTCCTTTCTTTTTTTTTTTTTTAACAAAAATAATCTTCCCACTTAGATTCACAGCTCCTAAAAGAGCTCTAAAATGATGGAGAAGGATGAGTTATCCAGTAGGGTTCATTAAGCTGATAACCAGTTTTGAGCTGAATTCTTTGGTAAAGGAAGGAAAGAGAAAAAGAGACAGCTAAATCTGTGTTTGGGGAAGTGGTTAGTACTTAGGAAACATAAGCCATTAAAGACTGAAATATCCCAAGGGATGAATTTCCCTAGTCCTTCCTGTCACTCACAGGTCCCACCCCACCCACTACCCGCATCCCCCATCAAAGAGCACCAGATCTTATCTTTTTCATACAATCAGTGGAAGGAGTAAGGGGTAAGGCTGGCAGGCAGAGAGAGAGAGATCCGGAGGTCTCCACGGGTATTCATTGTAGTTCCCCTAGAAAACTATCTTTAAAAAATTTCGTAGGAAGTTGGGCATGGTGGTGCATGCCTGTAGTCTCAGCACTTTGGGAGGCCGAGGAGGGAGGATCACTTAAGCCTGGGAGTTCAAGGCTGCAGTGAGCTGTGATCCTGCCACTGCACTCCAGCCTGTGTGTCAGAGCAAGACCCTGTCAAAAGAAAAAAAATTCATAGAGGTCTACACTCTTTTTTTTCTAGAAACCCGAACCGCGTTGAGTTCCCAGCTAAGTTCTTTTTGTTGTTATTTCTCTTCTTTTGAAACTTAAACGCAGGTCGGGCGCGGTGGCTCACACCTGTAATCCCAGCACTTTGGGAGGCTGAGGCAGGCAGATCACAAGGTCAGGAGTTCGAGACCAGCCTGGCCAACACGGTGAAACCCCCGTCTCTACTATAAATATAAAATAAAAAATTAGCCGGGCATGGTGGAGAGCGCCTGTAGTCCCAGCTACTCGGGAGGCTGAGGCAGGAAAATCCGCTTGAACCAAGGAGGCGGAGGTTGCAGTGAGCCGAGATCGCGCCACTGCACTCCAGCCTGGCCGACAGAGCGAGACTCCATTTAAAAAAAAAAAAAAAAAAAAAAAAGGAAACGTAAACTCTTGCCTAATCTCTGAAGATAAAGAGGAGGGAAAAGGCTGGCATTACCGATGGCGACTAAACGAGGGTAGCTGAGAAACTGAGCCTGAGCTCAGACTGGCAAAAAGGGGGAAATCCGCGCCCCCAAGAGGCCTTAACGCACAGAGCAGCAGGAACCTCCAGGGCGCCGCGGGAGCGCGCAGCGCGGCGGGTAAACTACAACTCCCAGCGTACCGCGCGCTCGGTGTTACGCCACGCCCGCTCATTGGCCGCCGGGAATATTTGAAAGGAGGGGCTGGCGCGGAAAACGAAGATTACGTTTTGGATCCTCGCGGAGTACTGTCTGGCGGCTAAGTCCTGGACCTGGGAAAGAGGGCGACTGTTGGGGCGGTGAGGCCAGAAGGGATTCGTGAGCATGGGTACAAGCCGAAGTGAAGGGGATCCCCAGAGCTGACGCGAGGGGAGGCGGGGGTGGCTCCGGGAGGGAGTGTCGGGAGGCTTTGGGACGGCCTCGGGGCGCTGAAGGGCTGGGCCGAGGCCTCCGGGGTAGCGCGGCGAGTGGTGTGGCAGCGAAGGCGGGGATCTGCCCGGAGGAAGGAAGAGCGGAAACCTCAGTTTATAACGGGAGCCCGGCGTCCCGGTGTGGGTTTTTTCCCTGATGAAATTTCTAATGTGGTTCTTTACTTCCTTCAGTCCTCTTCCCTTCCTCCAGTGAGCTTCATTAACAATCTTCACTAATTGGTCTCTTTTTCCCTAGCACTCCAGTGTCATGAGGAACTTCAAAGGAGCCAACTTTGGGATTCTGCTAAGCAGCCAGAAGGAGGCCAAAGAGTTGCTGCCCGACTTGAAGGTGGGGGTGCTGCCTGGCTCGGAATACACCTGGCTTTCCCAACTGAGCTGTTTTGTGTTTGCCTTTTGAAGAGATGGATAAGTAGGGGACCCTCTCTGAGCAACCCTATTTCTAATTACTTTCTCTACCTCTTTCCTGCCTTTGCTAGCCCCATTCATATCTTACTCTACTCCTAGGAGTTCCTGTCCAAGCCTCCAGCTGGTTTTCCCAGCAGCCGGTCTGATGCTGAGAGGAGACAAGCTTGTGATGCCATCCTGAGGGCTTGCAACCAACAGCTGACTGCTAAGCTAGCTTGCCCTAGGCATCTGGGGAGCCTGCTGGAGCTGGCCGAGGTGGCCTGTGATGGCTACTTGGTGTCTACCCCCCAGCGTCCTCCCCTCTACCTGGAACGAATTCTCTTCGTCTTGCTGCGGAATGCTGCTGCACAAGGAAGCCCAGAGGCCACTCTCCGCCTTGCTCAGCCCCTCCATGACTGCTTGGTGCAGTGCTCTCGCCAGGCTGCTCCCCAGGACTATGAGGCTGTGGCTCGGGGCAGCTTTTCTCTGCTTTGGAAGGGGGCAGAAGCCCTGTTGGAACGGAGAGATGCATTCGCAGCTCGGCTGAAGGCCTTGAGCTTCCTAGTACTCTTGGAGGATGAAAGTACCCCTTGTGAGATTCCTCACTTTGCTTCGCCAACAGCCTGTCGAATCGTAGCTGCCCATCAGCTATTCGATGCCAGTGGGCATGGTCTAAATGAAGCAGATGCTGATTTCCTAGATGACCTGCTCTCCAGGCACGTGATCAGAGCCTTAGTGGCGGAGGCAGAGAGCTCTTCTGGGCTTCTTTCTCCCCAGAGGGCCCTCTGCCTCTTGGAGCTCACCTTGGAACACTGCCGTCGCCTTTGCTGGAGCCGCCACCATGACAAAGCCATCAGCACAGTGGAGAAGGCTCATAGTTACCTAGGGAACACCAATCTGGCCCCTAGCCTTCAGCTATGTCAGCTAGGGGTTGAACTGCTGCAGACTGGGGAGGAAGGACCTCAGGCAGTGGCCCAGCTTCTGATGAAGGCATCAGCTGTCCTGAGCAATAGTATGGAGGCACCGTCACCCCCGCTTCGTGCATTGTATGAGAGTTGCCAGTTCTTCCTTTCAGGCCTGGAGCGAGGCACCAAGAGGCGCTATAGACTTGATGCTGTTCTGAACCTCTTTGCTTTTCTTGGAGGGTACTGCTCTCTTATGCAACAGCTGCAGGATGATGGTGTGAGTTAAGGACCTGGAGGTAGGGTGGGGATATGGTCTGTGGACTCACTACCAGCCTAGGATATTGGGCAAGATCTAGAAGTGTTAGGCTGCTCTCTGGACTGTGCCTAGCCAGTCAGCAAGCAGTCTAGTCTATCCTGAGAGAGCAGTGACCCTTTTGGATGTCCTTCTTCCTGCTCTCTGGGCTCTGTCAGCTCACCAGGAGTACGGATTAGTCTTCAGCTTGGAGCCCTCTTTATCTCTGCTCCTCAAACCAACCTTCCACCTCTTTCTTCAGGTGTGTGGAGGCTCCTCCAAGCGACAGCAATCTTTTCTTCAGATGTACTTTCAGGGACTTCACCTCTACACTGTGGTGGTGTATGACTTTGCACAAGGCTGTCAGGTACTGTCTGGAAATCAAGGAACCTGGACAAGACTCATAGGGTCTGCGGTTGCTCCACTGCCCTCGAAGAGCTTTGGGGTTGCTTGGCTTTGGGTGTGGAGTGGGGTGGAGGTCATCTTGGACCCAGCATGACTTGTCACCCTCAAGCCCTTCTTGTCCCTTCAGGTAGCTGGTTTGGCTGACCTGGCCCAACTAGTGGAGAGTTGCAAATCTACAGTTGTCTGGATGCTGGAGGCCTTAGAGGGCCTGTCAGGCCAGGAGCTGACGGACTACATGGGGATGACTGGTTAGTGCCCTGGGTCTTAGAGTTCATGGGAGGGTCATCACCCACTAGGCAGGTGAATAGTACTTGCTGCATGGTTCTGACCACTGTGAGGGTTCCCTGTGGTTCAAGGAGGCAGTGAAAGAAATTTATAAGTACCGGCTATTCTATATTTAACACCAGTAGAGAAGTGATGAGGCTAACTTTTTTTTTTTTTTTTTTGAGATGGAGTCTCACCGTGTTGTCCAGTTTGGAGTGCAGTGGTGTGATCTCAGCTCACTGCAACTCAGCCTCCCAGGTTCAAACAGTTCTCACGCCTCAGTCTCCTGAGTAGCTGGGATTACAGGCGCCCACCACCATGCCCAGCTAATTTTTTATTTTTAGTAAAGATGGGGTTTCACCATGTTGGCCAGGCTGGTCTCAAACTCCTGACCTCAAGTGATCTGCCCGCGTCAGCCTCCCAAAGTGCTGGGATTCTAGGCGTAAGCCACTGCACCTGGCCGAGGCTAATTTATAACAGTGGACACAATTGCCTCGACTGGAATTTAACTTGGTGTTTAACAGTTTTACCTGATATGCAACCTTAGGACCTTTCAATATATTTTTAATTTTTAAAATGTTTTTGTTTTTTCTCTTTCTTCACTTACCAGAATCCAGAAGTCATTACAAATGACTTTTCTGTATATTTAAGTGGTTTGGTTTTGGTTTTTTTTGAGACAAGGTCTTGCTCTGTCGCCTAGGCTAGAGTCCGCTGGCACAATCACAGCTCAACACAGTCTTAACCTCCTGGACTCAAGCTGGGGTTGCAGGTGTGAGCCACCGCACCTGGCTGACCCAGCCTTTAAAAAAAAAATTATATATTTCCACTCACTGCCACCTCCACCTCCTGGGCTCAAGCGATTCTCCTGCCTCAGCCTCCCGAGTAGCTGGTATTACAGGCGCCCACCACCTCACCTGGATAATTTTTGTATTTTTAGTAGAGATAGGGTTTCACATGTTGGTCAGGCTGGGCTTGAACTCCTGACCTCAGGTGATCCGCACGCTCGGCCTCCCAAAGCTGGGATTACAGGCGTGAGCTGCTGTGCCCGGCCCATAACCAACATTTAAGTCAAGTAACAGACTTATAGTCCAGAAAATCCTTCCTTGGGTCCCCTTTCAACCCCCACCAGCAATTACTATACTAATAGCTTTTCTGGTTTTGTTGTTGTTGTTAAGACAGAGTCTCTGTCGCCCAGGCTAGAGTGCAGTGGCATGATCTCAGCTCACTGCAACCTCCACCTGCTGGGCTCGAGCAATTCTGCTGCCTCAGCCTCCTGAGTAGTTAGGATTACAGGTGCACACTTCTCTGCTAATTATTGTGGGGTCTTTGTTTTTGTTTTTGTTTAGACCAAGTCTCCCTCTGTCACCCAGGCTGGAGTACAGTGGCACAATTTTGGCTCACTGCAACCTCTACCTCAGCTTCCGAGTAGCTGGGATTACAGGTGTGAGCTACAATGCCCAGCTCCATCATTTTAAAAAGCAAGGCCTGTTAGTTTAAGCCTCATAATTCTAAGGTTTTCAGTCATGGAAGGTTCTAAAGAACTTTTTATATTCTTAGTGGTTGAACCTAGCCATAGAGATAAAAATATCATTAGAAGTAACAAAAATTATTAGTATGAAAATTTTGGCCAGGTGTGATGATGGCTCAAGCATATAATCCCAGCACTTCCGGAGGCTGAGGTGGGCGGATCACCTGAGGTCAGGAGTTTGAGACCAGCCTGGCCAACACAGTGAAATGCTGTCTCTACTAAAAATACAAAATTAGCCAGGCATGGTGGGGCAATCCTGTAATCCCAGCTGCTACTTGGGAGGCTGAGGCAGGAGAATCGCTTGAACCTACGAGGTAGAGGTTGCAGTGAGCTGAGATCACACCATTGCACTCCAGCCTGGGCAACAAGAGTGAAACCCCAACTCTTAAAAAAAAAGAAAGAAAGAAAGGAAAGATCCTCCCACAGAGTACAGAAGACTGACTTTATTTTCTCTCAGTCATCTATGTTGATAGCCAAGAAGCTGCATAAATATTATCATTTATTCATTCAGCAAATGTTAGTTGAGTACTTATTGTGTGCCGTGCACTATTTTAAGTACTTGTATGTGTCAGTAAATAAAACAAAGATCCCTTCCCTCACAGAGCCACATTCTAGTTTGGGGGAAAAGATAAACTCAGTAAATAAGTAAATTATCAACATATTAGAAAGTCGATATGGGGGAAGGCCGGGCGTGGTGGCTCACGCCTGTAATCCAAGCCCCCCTTTGGAGGCCAAGACGGGTGGATCACCTGAGGTTGGGAGTTCAAGACCAGCCTGACCAACATGGTGAAACCCCGTCTTTATAAATAAAAAAAAAAAAAAAAAAAAAAGCAAAAGAAAAAAATAATGGGGGAAAAGGAAAAACAGAGCAGGATAAGATAGGGAATTGGGAGTCCAAGGTGCATGATGTGGGGCAAGTTAGC